ATTTAATAAAATACTTCGTTTAACTTTAACCATTTTAAGAAAACAATAGAAAATAGACTTGCTTGACAAAGATTTATTTAACAAGCTAAAATCATAATGATGCTAATTATAGTTATGAATTTTTAAATCATTTATTCCAGGAAAGCATTATAACTTCTCTTTGTCTTTCATTCATATTCATATCTTCAAGTGGTCATATGTTAATCTAATAAATATATCAAGGATTAATTATGACATGGTACTAAGTGAAAACTATGCTTCTTTAAGAGAACCCTACTTTTATATTTTTTGCAAACTTTTGTCTTCTGCTAATAAGTTAGAAAATCAACTTAGTCATAATTCACATTTTGTCACTATGAAGAGATGCCAGACAGCAATTAAAGATGGACATCAGGGAGTTCTGCACACTTTACAGAGAATTTATTTTCTAATTGACTGTATCTGCAGTGACGTTTGTATATATATATATGACAGAACTAAAGGGATACATGTTCTCTAATATCAATATGCCCCGCTTAATTTGAGAGTGTGCCTGTCTCCTGTTGGAACCATTATTTGGAAAGATAATAAGAATTTCCTATTGCCTTTTAAAAACTTAAAATTTGGAATTACATAAATATTGCATGAATTACATAAAAATTTTTGAGAATGCTTTCTACTCGCACTCCCACATACAAACACAAATGCAGGGCTGGGAAGGTAGCTCAGCGGTAGAGTGCATGCCTTGCAAGCATGAGGCCCTGGGTTCGATTCCTTAGCACCACATAAACAGAAAAAGCCGGAAGTGGCGCTGTGGCTCCAGTGGTAGAGCGCTAGCCTTGAGCTGAAGAGCTGAGGGACAGTGCCCAGGCCCAGAGTTAATGCCTATGACCAGCAAAAAAAAAAAAAAAAACCTGGACAAACACAAATGCATTCTTTTAAAAAAATAAATCCATATTTTTCTCATATCAACATAATTAATATATGTGACATATCTAAATTTATATTATATATATATATATCTTCAAAGGATCTGGAATTTTCATTGTGAAGAGTTTTGAGTTCAGTTTTTTAAATAGATGTGGTATTGTTTATGCCTTTTCTGCATTATTTTGTCCATGTTTTTGTTGTCATGGAAACTTACTTTTTAAAATTTAAAGCCATTTATTCTGCTTACTTATGTTTTTGTGTGTATGGCATTTTGTTGTTTATAAAGCTGCTTTAGTAGTCTTTTTATGACTTTAGAGTATCTATTGATGTCCTTTTCATCTTCCTTTTTGGTAGTTTTAACTTTATTTTCTATTTTTTTGTTACTTTAACAAGTTTTACTTATAGTTTCTAAAAAATAAACTGATACAGAACTTTTTCCAATTTTGTATAATTTTTATTTAATTGATTTTGGTTCTTATTCATCCTCTGGGTTTTATATACTCTTGCTTTAAGTTTTTCTAAAATGGATCTTCATATATCAAATACTTGATTTTAAACTTTTCTTTCTAATATATGCAGTATGTGATTTGATGTATAATGGCAACCTAAACACAATAATTCATATTTCACTATGTTGTTATTTCTTTATAATTAAACTGTTAGGATTTTATTATTTTTTTGTTTTAATAAATTTTTATTGTGAAAATACTGTACAGAGGGGTTAGAATTACATGAGCAAAGTAAGGAGTACATTTCTTATCAAGTATTGTCGCCTCCTCCTTTATTTCCCCTTACTATCCCTACCCACCCATTTCCCCCCCCCAAAGTTGTAAAGTTCCTTTTTCGACATAGCATCTTGTGCATTTCATTGTTTCATTGAGTCCACCTGTATCCCTATTTAAACAATTGTTTTTTTTTTTCCTTCCCCTCCCCAAATTATGCCAACATCAAATACAGTGAAACCAGGGGCTATACTGTGAGGGAGGGACATACAAAGCAACAAAAAAATCACCTTATAAATATGTTAGAAAAAAATAACAAGAAAGGAAAACCATTTGGGACCTTATCTTGGGATTCATTTCACCTAACATCAACTTATCTGACCTTTTCTGTTTGTCTCATACATATATAAATTATTGCAAATAAGGGAAACCGTGGGACTTATGTTTCTTTGGGCCTGGCTTACTTCACTTAATATAATTGTTTCCAAGTCTTTCCATTTCCTAATAAATGGGGCAATGTCATTCTTTCTGATGGAGGCACAGAATTCCATTGTGTATATATACCACATTTTCTTGATCCATTCATCTACTGAGGGGCATCTGGGTTGGTTCCATGTATTAGCTATGGTAAATAATGCTGCAATAAACATGTTGTGCTGGTAGCTTTAACTATGGTCTTGTTTGTGATAATTCAGGTAAATGTCCTAAAGTGGGATTGCTGGGTAATAGGGGAGCTCTATGTGGAGTCTTTTGAGGAACCTCCATACCACTTTCCAAAGTGGTTGAACAAGTTTACATTCCCATCAACAGTGCAGTAGGGTTCCCTTTTGTCCACACCCTCTCCAGCATCTGTTGTTATTAGAGTTCTTGATTATAGCCATTCTAACTGGGGTGAGGTGGTATCTCAGTGTTGTTTTGGTTTGCAATTTTTTATGGCTAGAGAGGTTGAGCATTTCTTCAGAGAAACTTCTCTGAAGAGGAAAGAAAGATGGCCAATAGACACAGGATTTTATTATTTTTAAGTTTGATTTGCAGTCTATCTATTTATTTTGATGGTTCAATGAATTACGATAGTTATTTTTTATTTCAAATTCCATGCTGAAAGTTTTACCTACAAATAGTAAAATTTAGAAAAATGTGTTATCTTTTGCTCTTTAGACATTTATGCAGATTTGTCTTCCATTTGACATAGGTTTCCTTCAATCTGAACAGAATACATTCTTCATGTTCTTATTGCTCATTTTCTTCTCATCTGCTGGTGAAGAAACTTGTTTTCCTGTGATGTTTTTACAAACTGCTTTATAAAAACATAACTTCACTGAGAGAAATAAAATATTTCTATTTTTATTACAATACTTTAAAGATTTTACATTACTGTCCCTCTTGCTTTAGGAATGAACTATTGGTTTTTTTATGTTTGTATTGTGTTGTATGTATTGTATTCACCTTACCCAATAATCTGATTTCTCTGACTCCTTTTTACATTTGTTTGTTTTTGTTTTACTCTGGCTATATTTTGACTATGATGTGTCTTAATATGGCTTATTTAAGTTTTGAGTTATAGGTTTTTAAAATTATCCTTGAAATTGCTTTATTATTTCCTATGTATTAGTGCCTCATTGTCTTCTTTGCTACTCTAATTAAATTCATGTTTAACTATTTTTGGTACAAGGGTTTAAACTCAGGGCCCCTGGCTCTTTTTTGTCTTTTTTGATTAAGGCTGGTGCTTTAGTACTTGAGCCACATGTCAATTTCTGGCTTTTTGCTGGTTAATTGGTACTAAAAGTATCATGGATTTGTCTGCCTAAGAGAACTCAGCCTCCTGAGTATCTTCCTGAGTAGATTTGCAGGTGTGAACTGTTAGCACCTGCAATGCTTGAGTTCTTAATATTCCACAGATCACTGTTTTTGTTTGATTAGTTGTCATGTTTTTTTTTTAATTCCATGTTTTCAGATGGTCAGTAACCAGACCACTACCTGCATACATTAGAAATTCCTTCTTTTTAAACTCTTACCACCTTTGAATTCTGCCCACCCTATCAGCCACTGGAAACTCCCCACCCCAATCTCTATCTCTTTGGTTTAATACAGCTGTTCATATTTAGTCTCATTTCTCTTTCCTGAGCTGTGGTTTGGGAAATTTCCCCTGGAGGAATGAGAGAAATCATTCTTTGATAATTCACCAGCTCAAGGCACAGTTTTCTGCTTAATAATTCCCTGTATCTTACAGTAGTATTTTGAATATTTTTGTTCATTTGTTGCAGCCTCTTGTGGAATGGCTAGTTCAATATTCCTTTTTCTCTCTTGAATAGAGGATTTAATCTGTTATTACAATGAAATTTAATATGACAATACTTCACTAATCATGAGAATTTATTTTATTTTAAATACCAGGTGTATCATTTCTTTTAAAAAACAAAATCTTATTGATAGTCAATTTAAATTTTGGATAATTTTCTGCATTAATTTCCCCTCTTGGTGTTTAAAACTTCCAGTATTATGAGAAGAGTAATCACATTTATGTTGCTACTGTTGCTATTAAGGAATAATTTCATTAACAGATTCTCAAGATCAAAATGAAAAATGAAATCGCCACAGTGTTCACTACTTTTTTAAATTACATTTGAATAAATAAAAAATTCATCATGATTTTTAAGAAAAGGCAAACTGAATGACATGTTTCAGACTCTGCTAAACATTGTGATAACTGCTTTTCACAATTAGTTCACAGATCTAATTCTATATCTAACAAAATATTGTGACATCTAAGAATTCCAAGAATTTGTGATAAATCTTTAACTTTATCAAGTTTGAGAGTAAAATCTCACATTTTTAGTGACGTGATAGTTACGCTCATGAATTTTGCACTAATTAGCTACCTTCAAAAGTGTGCTACAAGCTTAATTTAATAGCAAATATTGTTTTATTATATAGACTACTGAATTGAGCAACTTGCAACTCTGTAAGTATGCACATAATCATTGAATTCATTTGTGTAAAAAGAAGTCAACCTTGGTTTAGAGGATCTGTTTTCCTAAACTCCCACCTCTCCAATCCGGAATAGACATCTCTGTTTTGCTTAACTCTGTAGTGGTATATTTTTAAAATATTACTTGTTTATGGAATTAATCTTTTGATATCTGTTTTCCCACTGGCCTGAACTCCTTTGTAGCTGTGAATTTTATATTACTTACCCTTAGTGCCCCATGCAGCTTCTAGAAGAGGATAGCTATTTAATTATAATCTCTTAAATAAACCAGTGAAACTATTTGTATACTCCAATCTGTAGAAAAGTGTTATTCTAGCAAGGAGAAGAGTATTATTAAAGTGTTTGGATGCTAACACCCTTTTTTGTATCTTCTTTTACAGGCTCTTAAATCTGATCTACAATGGAAAAATTCCTTTTTTACCTGTTTTTCATTGGCATCGCAGTGAGAGCTCAGATCTGTCCAAAACGTTGTGTCTGTCAGATTTTGTCTCCTAATCTTGCAACCCTTTGTGCCAAGAAAGGGCTTCTATTTGTTCCGCCAAACATTGACAGAAGAACTGTGGAACTGCGGTTGGCAGACAATTTTGTTACAAATATCAAAAGGAAAGATTTTGCTAACATGACCAGTTTGGTAGACCTGACTCTATCCAGGAATACAATAAGTTTTATTACACCTCATGCTTTTGCTGATCTACGCAATTTGAGGGCTTTGCATTTGAATAGCAACAGATTGACTAAAATTACAAATGATATGTTCAGTGGGCTTTCCAATCTCCATCATTTGATACTGAACAACAATCAGCTGACTTTAATTTCTTCTACCGCTTTTGATGATGTCTTTGCTCTGGAGGAGCTGGATCTCTCCTACAACAATCTGGAAACAATTCCTTGGGATGCTGTTGAGAAAATGGTTAGCTTACATACCCTTAGTTTGGATCACAATATGATTGATAACATTCCTAAGGGGACTTTCTCCCACTTGCACAAGATGACTCGGCTAGATGTAACATCAAACAAATTGCAGAAGCTACCACCTGATCCCCTCTTCCAGAGAGCCCAGGTACTAGCAACCTCAGGAATCATCAGCCCATCTACTTTTGCATTGAGTTTTGGTGGAAACCCCTTGCATTGCAACTGTGAGTTGCTGTGGCTGAGGCGTCTCTCCAGAGAAGATGACCTAGAGACCTGTGCTTCTCCTGCACTTTTAACTGGTCGCTATTTTTGGTCAATCCCTGAGGAAGAGTTTCTGTGTGAGCCTCCACTCATTACTCGTCATACACACGAGATGCGAGTCCTGGAGGGTCAAAGGGCCACATTGAGGTGCAAAGCAAGAGGAGACCCTGAGCCTGCAATTCACTGGATTTCTCCCGAAGGCAAGCTTATTTCCAATGCTACGAGGTCTTTGGTGTACGATAATGGAACCCTCGACATTCTGATAACAACTGTGAAGGATACAGGTGCTTTTACCTGTATTGCTTCTAATCCCGCAGGGGAAGCAACACAAACAGTGGATCTGCATATAATTAAGCTCCCTCACCTACTCAACAGTACCAACCACATCCATGAGCCCGATCCTGGTTCTTCAGATATCTCAACTTCTACCAAGTCGGGTTCTAATGCAAGCAGCAGCAACGGTGATACTAAAATGAGTCAAGATAAAATTCTGGTGGTAGAAGCAACTTCGTCTACAGCATTACTCAAATTTAATTTTCAAAGAAATATTCCAGGAATACGAATGTTTCAAATCCAGTACAATGGTACTTATGATGACACCCTTGTTTACAGGTAAGAAAAAATAAGCATATCATCTGTGTACTTCCTTGTACAGATAAGTGTAGGGTTTTGTTTATGCAGTACTGACATGATATGAAACTGACATTTCTGTTCTGTGTTGTAATTATAACACTCCAAATTTTAAAGTATAAAATCAAATACCTGTAAGATAGAGGATGCATATGGGGAAATATTTTGAATGGTATTGTGTTTACAGAGCTGATATTTAGATTTAATATTGTGCTTACTCTTTCACTTCATCTAAGAGATGTGACAATCAGAGAACAAGAATGATTTTGATTTAAAAATTCAAAAACATACCAGAACTTACACATCCATACGAGTGTTCTTTCCTTCAAGGAAGTTATGTTGGGAAGCTATTCCATTATCCCAATGATGCTGTCATTGCTCAAAGCACTTTTGGAATTATCTTTAGAACCTTCGTGATTCTATTTTGAATATCCTCAGTGGTGGCAAATCTTCGTCTTTTGAGGGTGAATTTGAATTTTGGAAACAAGCAAAAGCCTTTTGGATTCAAGTCTTGTGAACAAGGTGGGTGATCAAGATGGATACTGCCATTTTTGGTCAAAATAGGATGTAACTATAAAATAATGAGACTGATTCTTCGAGTGATTGTGTTATGTGTATGTGTGTCTCATGTGCCCTGGTTCATAAGACAGTTCCAAAGAGAAAGCCAATGAATATTTTGAGCAGTGAAAGTATCACTGGAATTAAGAATGTAATTTCTGGGTAAGGGGCAATGATAATGAATTTGCATGTGCTAAGGAAATTCTGGTATGTTTTTGTAAAGTTCAGCCTCATTGATTTATAGTCACATCTTGACTGATTTTTCACTTAGACATACACATTTTTATTCCTTCATATAATCTCACTTGTGATAGATTACTATTGCCCTAGAAAATGATGCAAAATCATTTTGAATTTTCTTCTGTGTTGCATCAATATTTTTTCAGAAATTAGATTATTTTACTTCTGTACGTTGGTTGAGTTCTTGAAGATATGGGTTTTGTTCATGGATGGAAATGATATTTTTTTAAATAGCATGGACTGTTGGGAAAGATAAAACTATTTAAACTAGCCATATGTTTAATCATAGGCAAGGTTCTAGCTAATTTATTTATCTTTAAGAGGAAGAAAGTAGACTAAGTGATTTTTAGTATGACTTTAATTACTAAATAGGTAAGGAGATATAGCATGAAACACTAGTATCAGCACAAAGACGTTTGCTTCAGTCATGTTGGGCTCTTCATCTAGTTTATGGATTACCTAACCATTTGAAAGATGCTGATTTCTACTCTCAAGTTCCTGCCCTTACTGGAAATTCTATGTTTTTAAGTATTAGTTCTCTGAAACATGTTTATGTTTAGGTTTATGTCCTAAATTCTCAGGTTTTAATCTTGCCATGATGAGTAAATTCTTTTAGATCTTAAAGGAATTTATTGAATACTTGAATCTGATGCTTGATATCTGGAAAATAATCATACATGCTATTGCATGAGATTTTTTTAATGTAGTTTAAGGGCTTAATGATGTCTGGAATTTATTGAACCCTTACTAACTCACAGAAATTTCGATCACAAATAGCTATCCTTGTCTGAAATTTTTCTTACATATTTAAAGCACATTTTACTCAGATTAGTATTGTCAAGTTTCACAGATTCAGTGCTCACTTTCAGTCACAAGCTTTTATTTTCCAAATTAATTTTAGTGTAGGTCATATTTAACTACATCTTTGGAAAGAAGTTAGAAAGAAAGAAGCATTTATCCAAATTTTCTAAAGGTCATAGTTTTAGGACAACCTGGAAATTCTCAAAATTAGAGAATGTGTTTTGATGGAAAACTTCCAACAGTATCAATACTGTGTACAAAGAATTTATTCAATGGTCAACAGCCTTTGTGCTCTGAACATGGTCTTCACTTAAAGATGAAAACATTTTGAGGTTAATAAACTAAACTAGTTTAATCTGGATTTTTTTTAGGTATGATTTCATAGCAACTTATCAGTGATTTGCAAAGTAAGCACTCAGAATTGTGTTTTCATTCTGCTTTCTAATGTGATTGTCAGTGTCTTCTCTTTCCTCAAATTGGCTTTTCATCACAGAGGTGTTGTGAGTGCTAACTGGATTTGTTTAGTAGTCAGATAATGTCACAGTCACACCTTTCAAAAGCAATTTGTCATAAACGATTTTTTTAGCAATGGCTTTTATTAGGAGTTCTGCTTTTCCAAGCAATGTAATTAGTAAGCTTGTCAAGGCATGGCACAGACACCATTAATATAATGCAGACTCTAACAATGACTTCTAGCCATTGTAAGTGGGTAGCTCTAAGATTGGATCATTTCCCCATATTTCATATCAGTTATTAATGTGCTTATCTTAATGAGTACTGAGCGAGTGAGAACTAAAGTCATAATGACATTGAACACATTTTATGTCGCTTTAAATATTAACCCAAATTCCATTGTCCTTCAGAATGATACCTCCCACGAGCAAAACTTTCCTGGTCAATAACCTGGCTGCTGGAACTATGTATGACTTATGTGTCTTGGCCATATACGACGATGGCATCACGTCCCTCACTGCTACAAGAGTTGTGGGATGCATCCAGTTCACCACGGAGCAGGATTATGTGCGTTGCCATTTCATGCAGTCCCAGTTTCTGGGAGGCACCATGATTATAATTATTGGTGGAATAATTGTAGCATCTGTGCTGGTTTTCATCATTATTCTCATGATCCGGTATAAGGTTTGTAACCATAATGGGCAACACAAAGTCACCAAGGTGAGCAATGTTTATTCTCAAACTAACGGGGCTCAAATACAAGGTTGCAGTGTCACGCTGCCCCAGTCCATGTCCAAACAAGCTGTGGGGCATGAAGACAATGCCCAGTGTTGTAAAATTGCCAATGACAATGTGATTCAATCTTCAGAAACTTGTTCGAGTCAAGACTCTTCTACCACTACCTCTGCTTTGCCTCCTACCTGGACTTCAAGCACGTCTGTGTCCCAAAAGCAGAAAAGAAAGACTGGCACCAAGCCAAGTACTGAACCACAGAATGAAGCTGTCACAAATGTCGAGTCCCAAAACACTAACAGGAACAACTCAACTGCCTTGCAGTTAGCTAGCCGTCCTCCTGATTCAGTCACAGAGGGGCCTGCATCTAAAAGAGCACACACCAAGCCAAGTAAGTTTCTCACATTGCCTGCTGAGAGATCCAGGCCAAGGCACAGGTACTCCCTGAATGGAGAATTAAAGGAATACTCTCATTGTGGTAACTCACACAGCACATGGGAACTGTGTCCTAAAAGAAGCATGTCTATGAATGGGATGTCACTTCCATCTTATCTTTCTGATTGTCATAGTGGAAAAGCAACCCTTGCAAATTCTGAGTGCATACTGGAAAGCTCTGTGTAATCTATTATTGCTTTTACATTAAAATTATATTTTGAAAATCCACATAGGAAATTGGAATTTGGGTTTCCAGTCTTGTCTCTGTGAAACTTTGGTAGTAGAGCTCAGGTTGTATACATGCCTTTTAGTACAGTTACAGTTAACTTCCATATATATCCATGTTGTATCTATCTTTATATAAATATAGAGATAGATATATATGAAGGTGACAAAATACAATGGTATAAAGGGAAAAAAAGTGTGAGTTGGTACCAGTGCCTTCTCTATTCTAAGACCAGCTTTTAGCTTCTGAAAACAGCAAATTGCAAAACAGTGGTTATCACAGAGAACAAAATGTCTTTCATAAAAAACATGGTTTTTCTCCCAATTTTATAAAAAGGCCTCTTATGGACAATTGATATTTTTAATGAAACTATATGTTTTGTGTGTGTGTGTGTGTGTGTGCGTGTGTGTGTATGAAGTACTAGTTAACAGTAGCATACTGTTCTCCCCTTCCTAGATTTTTCAAATTATTATTAAAAACTGTTGAAGGACTAGGCATCGGTGATTGACACCTGTAATTCTACCTACTCCAGAGGCTGAAGGCCGAGATCTGATGATTGTAGTTTCAATCCAGCCTAGAAGAAAGTTTTGCAAGATTGTAATTTCCAATTTACCAGCAAAAAGCCAGAAGTGGAATTGTAGTTAAAGTAGGAGAGCTAAGAACCCGCCTAGTTCGGAATTCAAGCCCCAATACTGGCAAAACAACAACAACACAAACACAATATTTGAATGAAAACAAGCTTTCAAATCTTAAAGAAATGAATGCTCAAAGAAATGATTTTTAGTGTTCTGACAAGTAGGCCTAAAATCATATAGGCAGCAAGTCGATGTACCTCCTTCAAGTTACTGATAAGTTTCCTTTATGTTTTCCAGATGTCTATATTTTTGAAAATACATACCATGCTTATGTTTCTAGTGACATGTTTATTAAAAATATTTTATTTCTCAGACGTTTAAAATCTTACATCTAATCATGTGGATTTCATTTTGCTTGACTAAAGTCATTGAAAATCATTCAAATTTTGATTAGGTTTTCTAGACAATTTTCAGTGTCTTAATTAAATGCTGTAACATTTGATCCTAGAAGTGAATTTCTGTTCTGTTTTTCTGTCTTACAAAGATTTTATGTATTGAGAAAAAAAAGAAATCAAAAGATTTTTCCAGGAAAGTCATAAGATTATTGTCTTTAGTTGTAAGTGAATGATGATAGTTTGGCTTAGAGAGATAACTAATGTTACATATTATCATATCTGAACCAGGACAATTGCCTAGATTATTGAATGAGTTAAAGGAGAAATGAATAATTGACTAGGTGGAAGGAGGAAAACAATAAGAATTTTGATTAGTTAGAGCAATACAGATTTTTGCTCCAAATATTTTATGACCCTGAGAAACACAGTCATTCTTGTTGTTCAATTGGTTATTTATTACCTTCCTTTACATAACTTGTGTGTGTGCATGTGTATGTCACTCACAACCTAGTTTGCTGCTTGTTATCCCTCACTGCGTGCATAATGTAATTATTTTAATTCCTCATTCTTAATTATTTTTCTTTTTCTTTTTCCATTTTACCTTACCACTTTGATCAACATGAAAACAAACTTAGAAAACACACAAAGTTCATTTTAGCAGGTAATTTGCTCCAAATATATTTTTTAAAAAGAATAGGTATCCCTAAATTGTTCTCATTATTTTTGAGTAATTACCTTCTAACTTAAAACAACACAACTGCCATTCAACTACTAATGAACTCATCTGAGATCTCACTGTGCCATATAATGAGACAAAAGTTGATTTTACCTGTATGAGTGATATATTTTATTAAATGTGTTTTAAAACGTAAGTTTTGAAAAGCAATCTATCAACATAAAGCATCTATTCTCTAGTGGGTCTGTGAAGGTGGCTCAGTGGTAGAGTACTTACCTTGCATGCATGAGGACCTGGGTTCGATTCCTCAGCACAGCATAAACAGATAAAAGACAAAGCCCTAAGTGGCAATGTGGCTCAAGTGGTAGAACACTAGCCTTGAGCTGAAGAGGTGAGGGACAGCATCCAGGCCCAGAGTTCAAGCCCCATGACCAACAAAAAAAAACATCTAGTCTCTGAAAGATACATATTTTCTCCTAAATTATCTGAAGAACTATTTTAAATGAATTATCTTCCACTTGTCTACAGACAGTAATTATTTTCTTCCTACTTTCTGAAATATTTCTCCAGTTTTAAGCATTCATAAAATACTTGCTTTCAAGCTAATTTTAATTATTTTATTCAGTTCTGTTTTTGAAAAGAAATATTTTATTTCCAAATATAAAAGCATTTAGAAGTAATTATTACAGAGTTCTTATCAATTAATTACCTTCCAGCTTCTAATTTTAGTATGTCCTCTCAGCACATGTAGACTAATGAACTCTAACAAGTAATATTTAAAATTTCAACACTAAAAATATTTCTATAAACATTAAAGATAGAACCATAAAGGTAATTGAAATACTTTTTCAAAGAATATAACAAGTCTGAACTCAGTGACTTTTGGATGAGAGACTTATAGTTGATGCTTTTAATATTAAGCAAACAGCATTCATTTACAGTGGACAAATGGAATGATACCCCTTTCTGTTGCGTGCTTAGCTTTTCCAGTGTCTGAGAGCAGGAAACTCATTTTCCCCTGCCTGCTTTGAAGGAATTGAGGACAGCAATATGTTGGATGGAAAGGAATATTTTTCATTCCTTCTTATATTCTTAATAACCACAACACGTTATTTTATATGATAGGGACACTATTTTTAACATTTTAATAAGTGTTTCATTGAATAAAGAAAATAGAAAAAAATCAGTAAAATCAACATGGGATTTTTTTTTATATTAGCTTCAAAACACTGCCTTTAAAATTAGTCTATTTCTTCACACTCTAATAAACATATGGTGTAATAATTGTATATATTTATTATAAATAAATTGTATATAACTATTCTAGTATATTCTATATGATTATATTATATATACTATCTTTATTCTAAATAAATAAATACAATTATTTAGGTTATGCTTCTCCTTTATTTTATTCTTATCTTAAAGGAAACAAAGTGATCCAAGAAGCTATCCCAGATAAAATGTGACGGGGTTATTGCTGTGATTGAGTCATCCTAAAAATATCTCATGATCTGAAGTGATAAAGTAACAGTAATAATTAGGACTATGGATAAATATTGTATTATCACCTCAAAATTAGCAATTTGATTAATTTTTTTACAAATAACAATTCTAAAAATAACCATTGTACCATTTTCTTCTTGTTGTGGTTAGCTACTTCAATACCAAATTCAGGATCTAAAGTTAATATTGAATATGTATGCATATTACCTATGTGCATTATATTTTCATGTTTTATAAGATATTGTATGTACACATATATTTAATTCATTCAAAATAATTTTGTGCTACAATACAAATAAATAATTAGATTTTTGATGAGAGGTAATGAGATTTAAATAATGCTGATTACAGACAAATTCTCCTTGCAAAAAAATTTAGTACAAATGGCTCTTGACATTAATCACATGAATTTTGTACTAGAGCATATAACTTAATTATTCTAAATTTTAGGATGGTGGGTGCTCCTACAACTTAAGTAATTTCATCCATTCTTTTTGAAGTAATGACTATTCATGTATAGTAAAAATTAAACAAATCATGATTTCAAATATGTTTGGAAAAGAAGCTGTGCAGTCTTTTTCCTTTAATAGGCTTAGATACCATTATTCTGCTTCAGAATATATCAGATATGCAATCATTTAGGTAAAATTAAGGAATTCATGAAATACATTTTATTCACTCCACCATAATCTGAATCCTTAAAATATTAACTTTTCTCTATATCCTCGATATCTTTTATTATTTTCATAAAATCATTAATCTCCAGATGCCATTTTAAATTTATATGACTATTTCGGCTGAAGATTTTGTTAAAAAACAACTTGTACTGGTTGTACTTATGCTCATCTGTGAACTGTGTCTAAATCCTTAATTTCATCTGTGCCACTTCTAAATAATCAGTAGCACTTGCTTTATAGGAGTTATACAAAGTAAATGTTTTCCATGAAGAATTATGTAATGACATGGAACATTTACACACAATTTAAATATACATCTGGATTGTTTTAAGGCAGAGTCTTTACATTTAGAAATCATTGTTTTACATAAAAATGAATGGATTCTTGGCTATTGTTGGGAGACTGAATATTGAATGAGTATTTTATACTCTGTAGTGAATAATATTTCCTACTGTGGTTCTTCTTTTCCTTGATGTATTATTTAATCATATGTAATGATATCATTGAAACATAAATTATGAACAGGGAAAAATAACTAGAAACACAACTTTTTTATTGAATTCTAACAAAAAAAATCACTTTGAAATTCATTTTATTTTTTGTTTTTTTGTCAGTGTGGGGCTTGAACTCTGGGCCTGGGCACTTTCCCTGAGCTCTTCAACTCAAGGCTAGCACTCTACCACTTGAGCCACAGCACCACTTCCAGCTTTTTCTGTTTATGTGGTGCTGAGGAATCGAACCCAGGGCCTCATGCATGAAAGGCAAGCACTCTTCGACTGAGCTACCTTCCCAGCCCTTGAAATTCATTTCAGTTGCTAGATCATTTATTTTGTGACTAAATCATTGAAATTCATTTAGTTACTAGAATGATAACAAAAATTCTACCATTGTAGTATTATGTAGTAAGAAGTAGCTGTAAAAAAGTTTAAACTACTAAAGTCAGTTACAATTAACCCTCTAAATTTCCAGTTAAAAGCAAAATGGAAGAGTCTTTTCAAGATTTCAAGAAAAGGTTTTTAGGATCTGGGCCTCAATCAATTAACAGAATTGTGCATGACATTAAAAGTTTTATTCGCAGATGTTTTGCTGGCTAATGTTGAGCAGATTTTCCAGGAAACACAGGTTAGAATTTCACTTCCTGCCACATGCTTCAACACATAAGATGATCAATTATTTTGTGTTTTCTTTCCTGATTTGTACACCATGTTGAAATTTTCCATTAATACTTGAAACACTGAACAGTTTAATGGGTTAAGCAAAATTTCAATTCATGAAAGTTAACCTGTTCCTGGTTAACAGCACGTACATGGTAGTTACCTTAGAAAAGGAAGGTCACTCGAATGCTGCTGTTAGAAGTAGTCACATCATAACTTCAGTCATGCAGGGTTCCACATGTACTTTAACAAATATTTCCAAACATGTAGACATTCACTTTGATAAGAATGAATTTGCTTCTATCCATGGTCTCCACATCCTTAATAGAGGATTAGATGAAGCTTTATGCCTCATTGAAAAAGATGAATACAAGTGCTTCACTGTTATCTAAAATGAATAAAGCCACTCTAAAATTGAGCAAAGACTACACATGAAATATTCATGGTATTCTTTTTGTCAGCAACCAATTACTCTTCTTGAGTGTCTTATTTTTTTCTGGAAGTTTGATATGAGTATTTGATTCCTGCATTTTAATTGGCTCAGATAGTCTGTTTCCAGAGCAGAATAGCACTTAAGCAATCTGTTCAAACAGCTGGAAGCATCAGATATTTTCCTGAGGTTTGGCACAGAAAAAAATTTATGTGTGTGTGTGTGTGTGTGTGTGTGTGTGTGTGTGTGTATTCTGCTTTTAAAGTTCTATAAAAGGCCATTGTTTTATTTGTTGATAGTAAAAATAGAGTCCTACTTTTTAACATTTTATACTAAAAAGTAATACAATAACTTGGTCAGTGTTTTAGAGTTTTCCCTAGTGGATTCCACTCCTAAACCAAAGTGTTTTCATGCATCATTTCTTTTCTGAATTTAAGATCCTGTTCTTAAGATGCAGGGAAAGAACAGATGGCTCATTGGAAGCAATTGTGAAACTCAATGTCTGGCAAAACCTCTATGTTCTCCTTTGGGTTGGGGTTGACCTGCATGGAGATGTCTTGTTTTATCCCTTCTTTTTCCTACCTCAGTTTAAATTCTCTCTTCTTCCCTCTGTCTCTCCTCTAAGCTTCTTCTCCTCACAGCACTTATTTTTTCTATCTCTTTGTCTCCATTATTTATGAGAGGTATTAATTTGTTTTGTTATTTGACTTTATTTTTTATGCTCTTTTGGATATTTATCGCAGATGAGTGGAAAGTGAGGTCCCATGAGAAAGTGTTTGAAGGTAGATGAAGCTCATTTGATTTAGCAGTGTGATTCAGAACAATGCTAAATGCTGCATTATGATTTATAATAAGAAGAAAATATATCAACATCATTTTAAAATGATTGATTTCATTGTTTCCCCAAGTTCACATATTTCATGGGACATGTTAAGCATTATTGAAATTATTTATTCATTTTTCTCCATTGTTAAAAGTAGGATTTAGAGAAATGGAAATATTTGGACTTATTTTTGAAGGTCTTTGTGCTACTAGGGGACACAGGATTTGCTGAATGGCAAATTTTTTTGTAATGTGTTTATGTGAGAGAAATTAGTAATAGTTACAGAAAATTTGAAAACATAGTTAAAAACAAAAGGTAATTTTCAACCAAATTCTATCAACCATATACAAATTATGATAATGGCGCATAAATTTTCAGTGCTATGTAGTGAATATATGCCTACATGTGTATTCTTGCATTAAGTATACCCAACAGACTTTAAGTATCAGATGTCATCTAATTTTCTTGTTGCTTCTTCTTTTGAAACAAACCTTAATCATCCTTTCAGAGTTTGTCTACTTTTCTTCCTATATGCATTACTAAGATAAACAAATCATCAGATAAATATAAATTTGACAATATTTAGTATGAATATATCACTTGTTTTTCACCCAGTTCATGGTACATTTCTGTTATCAGCTCTGGGATCTCTATGATACCAATGTCAGTATTCTTGGTATTTCATACGTGATTTCTGCTCTACCTGACTTAGCGTTTCCATAGTAGTCCACAGGTCCAGGCAGGGCTGACCCTTATGAAGAGACCTTGACCTATGTAGTTGATCCTCACAGCCCTCTGCACCATCCACAACACTGTAGGCGAGGTACAGTAGAGGGTTGGCTTCACTGCGACTTCACTGTACTGTGGGTTTTTAAAAGAATCTGTAAATAGTGATTGCTCACATATCACAGGAGTTATATTCCAAGACAGGTGAAAATCCCCAAAGTAGAAATAAGTAAACTGTGATAGAGCAAAGGATGACTATATTATGCTGTCATATAAAATAATAAAATTATTATAAGTAAAATTAGTCTAATACACTACGATAGCTTAAGAACAAAGTTGAGAAAATCATTGATAATATTTCCTGGGAATTATATGTGAATTGATTATTACATATAAATTAACCTTAGATTTGGCTGACACTTTTATCCTTAAAATGAATGCAGTGAACAAAAGATATGCCATGTATGTTGGTTGAGATAGGAACAGTTGACTGGTTTACATTTTTACTGAAAAAGCCTTTGATAAATATTCTGTACAAGTGATTACTGTATTTAAATCAATGAAATGTATGTTCATTATCTGTGTTTATCTGTGTACATGAACATACATGCATGCCCAAGAAGGGTTCATAGTTTTCCTTTTGAGGTAGTTTGCATTTTCTCTGTACTTCAGTATCTTCAAAAAGTTTTGTCTGCCAATAAATGTTTTGAAAGTTATTCTTACAGTGTTAAATAAGAACCATTATAAAAACCCACCTACCTTTATTCTGATTTGTTTATCTTTGGTTCTTGAAAATTTTGCCACAATTGATGTCTTTATTTTTTGAATACTCATAAATATGTGTTTAATGTTCAGATGTTCATTAAATGATTCCAAGAGTTTACTTATTGATTAGCAATTTAGAAATTTTTGTTTCTGTGCCCTACTTAGTACCAGCTTTTGTTTTTTTTTCAATAATATATTATTATTTTTTTTACTGGTATAGGCTTCAAGTAGAAAAACTTTAATTAATCTCCCAGTATTTTTTCTGTTTGCTAAACCTTAGCATCAACAGCTCTTACATAAACTATAAATTTACACCTTTAAATTTTATTGGCTTATAAGTATACATTAGCTATAATAGAAGGGATTCATTTTGACATTTCCAGGCATATAGATATTTTATTCCAGTCAATCTCTTACCTCTAATAAATTTATCTTTATCTTCTGACAACTTTATATGATTTCCAGAAGTTTCAATGCTCTCTTTTCATTTTGGGACAAGCTATTTCAACAATATCAGTCATCTTTGCTAGTCTAATTCCTTGTGAATACACCACTGAACCTCTTTCTCTTTCTTCTTCACTCCAACTCCAATGTTTATCCTTATAAAGTTTTCACATACAATTGAAATATATTTAAAGATTATTAAACCTTTATCTTTTTTCCCTTGTCCCCTTCCCCTTCTCCTCCTGATTAATCCCTCATTTATAATTATCTATATTTTGTTAATAATGTTTTAATGTAATATGAAATTGGATGAAACTGAAGAACATGTAAGCTTACAAAACTATCAATTTGACTTTGAAGTTTGTTATCTTGAAAAATCTATAACTTGCAAAGTCAAGCTAGTTGTATTGTCCATTGTCTTTTTTCTTTTCATTTTATTTGTTATTGTAAAGGTAATATGCAGAGGGGTTCCAGTTACATAAGTCAGGTAAATTTCTTTTTCAACAATTTCACCTCTTCCTTTGTTTTCTCCCAGGTTTTTCCTCCCATCCAAGTTGTACAGTTCATTTTCAACATATTGTCTAATGACTTTCCTTCTTTTTGTGTTGGTATTAAGACTTGAACTCAGGGCTTAAACCTTTTGCTTGGGTATTTTACTCTAGGCCAGTGTTCTGCCACTAAAACCACACTTCCATTTGCAGCATATTTCTGGGTGATTGGAGATAAGAATCTTCTACTGTCAGGGTCTTTAGATATCAAAACATGAGTAGCTAGTAGCTAAGTACCTAGAACTACAGGCATGAGCCACTGATACCAAGCTTCTCCATTTGCTTTGTTTTTATTTCTAGACCTATTGAAAACTTAATTACAAATTTCAATAGCTTGAATCACTTCTTTTATATAAAAAGTATATTACTGAAAACATAAAAACATAAGTATTCTCTAACATGAGGTATGCTATGAAACCAATAAAAGCAAATTTAGTAAAATTTCTAATTTCATGTTGCTAATTCCTCCTCTTCTTCTTCCCCTTGTCCTTCCCTTTTTCCTTCTCCTTTTCCTTCCTCTTCACCTTCCTCTTTGCTTTCCTCTCCTCCTCCTCCTTCTTCTTTTCCTCTTTCTTCTCCCTCTTTTCCATAGGATGTATTAGTCTTTTAAATTTATCCAAACATCTTAACACTAATGAAATAAGCCTTTTTTGAAAAAAATAAGTTTCTTTAGAATTATCAAATATTTTCTTATATTATTGATATAGGTTTTTATTTTCATTATTGTGCAAAATGTCAAATATTTTAACATATCATTATAACTTTGTTATGTACAATCCCAATATTTGCTATATATTTTGATATAAATTATGCAATAAATTAAAAAATCTACTTTTCAGCCAGATGTCAGACGGCTCATGCCCGTAATCCTAGCTACTCAAGTGGTGAAGTCTGGAAATCATGGTTCAAAGTCAACCCAGGTAGAAAAATGCATGAGATTCTTGTCTCCAATTAAGCACCAAAGATCTAAAAGTAGAGTTGTGGCTCAAGTGGTAGAGTGCCAGCCTTGAGCAACAAACCTAAGGGATAGTGCCTGGGCTCTGAGTTAAATAAATAAATAAATAAAATCTGTTTTTCATGATCTACTTGTTCCATATATTTTTGAAGCAATATATAGGACCTTGTGGTGTATTTTGTATGGAAAGGAGAAAATTTGTTTCTATTGTAGTCATCTGAAAACATAGTTGTCTAATGTTATTTTTCTTCTTTTCAAGGATATAATTTATAGGTATATCTTAAATCCATGAATACAGTTAGTCCATATTAAAGGGAAAATACTTTCACAGTTTGATATTTAAATATCTTATAAAATATTCAGAATCATAATTAAATTAGCTGTGATTTGTCTTTGCTTGTGAATTGTTGACGTTCACAGTTAATCTGGTCTGTGGATGAAGAACTAGTTATGGAAGATGAACATGTTTCCACTATCATTAAATGTATAATTAAATTTTATGAAATGTTTCAAATGATACTGAATTCTCAGTAGATATTAAAATGTTGAGATCATTTATTTCTTGAGTGCTGCATGAAACACAATTGATTTAATGCTTTCATATTTTAAAACACCAGTATGATTGTATGTTAAAACTTAAATGCCAGCATTAATAAGTGAAATGACCATTTTTATCATCAGATTTGAGGACATCCCACAATTTGACTGACTCAACATTGATCATTTAATCTCCCTACACGAATATTCCTTCTTAAAGGAAAACCCTTTCCATGCTCAATTTTCAAGTAATATTTTACATGTCAATTAAATGTAAATATTTACAATACAGATGTCTGTTCTATCTTTTATGACAACAAATCATCTGCTTAGTTCAGTAGCTTCACAATTACCAACACATTATCTTATTTGCTATGTGTTTTCTTTCCTTCCCCGTACCCCCCTTTCATTCCAGAGGCTGGAGTTAATCTGAAGAGCACCACTTCTCTCTCTCCTGAAAACAGTTGCCACTGATATTTTTACTGGATAAAATTTAAAAATGTTTCAGTTCACAAGGCGAGTTGTTGAACTGGTGTCGAAGAAGAAACTGTCCACAGGAGCTGGGTCGGCAGTCTCTGATGCTGGTGGCACTGGCTCCCATCACACCATGCTTCATTCCTTATCAACACAGATTTTTTTTTTCTTCTGGCCTACAAGTATTTTTTTTTTAAGAAAGAAAGAGAAAAAAAATAACCTACATCGGCATCAAGTTCTGTATCAATCCATCTTACATTACCATCCATGATTTAACAGACTGTAGAATCTTGAATACTATATCACTTTAACAAATAAATGTTTTACTATGAGAGAAATTGCACAGTGCCTTATTTGTGGATGTACTTGTCGCATCAAGAGTGAAAGATGCAGTAATTATTGAAGAACATAGCATATTGAGTAGTGCAAAACCCTTAAGGATTTGGAAATTGCTTTGTAATATTAGATTAGTTTCTTTTGTGGTTGGGTGTACTCATTTCCATGGAAACAAAGATTGGAGCCATTAAAAACAAAAACAAAAAAGAAACATGTCAGAAAATGAGGAGGGTTTTCTTCTACAGAACTTTATGAAATGAGCAAAACAATTAAATTGTAGTTAACCCAAATAGATTCACTGCTTTTCTAGAAAGGTCAGGCAAAGAGACTTTAATAATTCCTGGGCCTATACGTCATTGTAAGTTTTCATTTACCAATTTTGTACATTATCAAGATAAATAAGAACAAAGAACTGCAATGACTCTAGTGTAAGCATAGAGTTGAGATATCTTTAGTAGATAATAATTATTAGTATATTTATTTTTACACAGAGTCCAGAGGTTACAATCTTTGAAACATATATGATGCTCTATATTTATGTGTCTAGTTTACCCACACTTATCTTCCAAATTTTCATAAGTTATAGAATTAAATTTGAAAATGCAACATGGGATTTGGCATAAAATAAGTTTTATAAACATCATTGTTTTTTACTAATTGAATTCAAGTTGTCTAAAACCTTGAAGATTTCTATTCTGTGACAGCACTGATAGCTATTATTAAAACCAATAAGTTTGTGTGTATGTGTGTGTGTTTGTGTGTGCGTGTGCATGTGCTAGAACTGGGGTTTGAACTCAGGGCCTGTGTGCTATCCTTAAGCTTTTGTACTCAAGGCTAGTTCTCCAACTCTTGAGCCACAGCTCTACTTATGGCTTATTTTTGGTGTCTATTTGGGGATAAAGAGTCTCAGGGACTTTGTTGTCTGGGTTGGCTTGGAAAATGATCCTCACATCTCAGCTTCCTGAGTATCTAGGATTATAGACTTGAGCCACTGGCACCTAGCAGTTATTGTATTTTAAGTTCAAACTGAAAAATGTAGGATGTTTTTTCTTTAAACATTGTTTAACAAGCTGGGAGCTGGTGGCTTCACCTGTAATTTTAGCTAGTCAGGAGGCTGAGATCTGAGGATCACGGGTCAGAGATGCCAGCCCAAGCAGGAAAGTCTGTGACACTTATCTCTAATTAATCACCAGGAAATCAGAAGTGGCACTGTGGCTCAAAGTGGTAGAACTCTGCCCTTGTACAAAAAAGCTCAGGGACAGTGCCCAAGCCCTGAGTACGAATCCCATGACCTACAAAAAAAGAAACAAAAAGTTTTAACAATATTCTCTAACCATTCCACATTTTTTGGACTACCAGAAATACCCAGGTTCCTAGGTATGGAATAAGAGTCTACAAAATGTCAACCACAAGAGGGGTGGTGCCAGGAGCTGCCACAGTAGTTAACACCTACCTATCTATACCTGTCCCTCTGGCACACACAACTCTCTGGTGAACTAGAAGTAACAGACGGAGTCGCGATTTTACAGCTGGTTTGTTACACTGGCAATTTACCCATTTTTCAATTTCTTGACAAGTCTATAATGGCCTGAGAAAAATTTCATGCTGTCTTGGTGCTGGTACCTCCTCAGTATTCATATCCTGATCAGGCTTAGTTCTGTTAGGCTATTTGCTGTTTTCATAAAATAGAACTTTTGTTGCATTTAAAACTAAAATTAAATATTCGTTTAAAATTCTCACCGTATCACTCATATAATGAATTCGAAACCTATATTTTCTTACGCACCCAATCAAACATTGATTGGTGCTCATCATGGACACAACTTATTTTTTATATTGTTTAAGAGTACAAAAGAAAAGAACAGTATATGATCTTCGAGGTAAGAATGAATAAATTCCCAAATGTCATACTATATATATTTTTTTGTTTTTGTTTTTGCTTTATTTTTTATTTTATTTTTATTGTGAAAATACCATACAGAGGGGTTACAATTACATGGGCAAGATAATGGGTGCATTTCTTTTTTTCATACTATATATTTTTATTAAAGGATATTTAAGAGAATTCAGATGTATGCCTCAAACTAAATGAGATTAATAATCACTCATAAAGGAAAAGTATGGGGACTAGGAATGTGGCTTTATGATAGAGTGCTTGCCTACCATGTACTAGATTTGATTCCTCAGTACTACATAAACAGAAAACAAATGAAAAAAATAAAATTAAAAGACAAAATATATATTAAAAAGGAAAAATATGGAGCAAGTAGGTAATTCTAGCTGAATAATGGAATCTTCACTCAGTGTGCCTACAACTCCTAAAATGAATTGTCATAGGATAAGTCATTCCTGTGTATCTGCTCTAAATTCCTGGGTAGTTGGGATTAGTTTACCTACCAAAATTGCTAATTTCAAGTATCTTACACTTTAACTTTTGCAATATCTTGCCCAGAGTGTATTATAAAGCAAATGAAACACACACGAAATCCAATTGACAGTGCTTTGAGTATTTTTACAACTGTGAGTGTGGGTTGGGTTGGAAATTTTAATGCTTACTTTATAAATTTACAATTATTTTAAATACCCATAATATTTTCTACGATTCCAGGTGGCTGATAATATTGAGAGTTGAAAGCAGTAACTTAAATGTGGAAAGAAAGATAAAATAAACTTACTATTTATTTATATTTAAGTTAAACCTCAGATTAAGTTATGTGAATATTTTTATTATGTTATGTCATAAAATAGTACACACACATATGAAATGCCTTATGGGCTATTTTAGATTTGTGATTTTCAAACTATTTTATAAATTTAGGTCATTCTTTCATTCTATTTAACTCATTTAAGAATTTATTCAACATTCTTTATTTTCCTTTTTATGTCCAAAATAAGTTAATATTGACATTTACAAATTCAATAATTAATATTTCTTTGTGTGTTATGTGTATGTATCAAAGATACACAATAACTTAAAATGTAAGTGTTACAAACCAACATGAAAGCAAATGTCACAAACCAACTGCTTTAGCACAGGGGTGTTTTTATTAAATTTGCAAGTGAAGGGAAGTAATCTGCTTAAGTTCCTCAAAAAGTATTTTTTTATTGTGGAAGGTCTAAAAGTAGACAGATGAAAGATGCCTATTACATTTACATTGTTTTGATATATTCATCTTAAAATATAAAAAACATAAAGTATCTCCTCAGCATCAACTTTCTTTTTAGTAGCCATAATATAACTTTCTATTCTTCTAGCCCCTGATCAACTCTAATCAACTTTTACTCTTTGTAATCACCCAATTCAGATATTTCATGCAGGTGGGGATTATAAATATTTATCATACCTTATGATGTTGTAGTATTTATTATTTCATTGTACTATTATAGCTGAATAGTATATAGTATTCCTTTGCATATAAGGTAAGTTTGCCTGAATACCATGTCTGTATTACTCATTCATTTTGAATGGTTACTCTAAATAGTACTACAGTAAATCATCACATGTAGATATTTGATTATTATTATTTTTAATGGTGGTACCAGAACTTGAACTCAGTGCTAGGCATTTTTTCTCAGCCTTCTTGTTTACCACTGGTGCTCTACCCCTTAGCCACCCAGATGGAATGCACAATAGGCCCAGTATTTTGGTGATCAATTTATGATGGAGTCTCTCTGATTCTTCTGCTTGGGCTGGCTTCCAACCATAATCTTCTGATCCCAATCTCTTCAGTGGATGGTGATAAGCAACCAGTATATCCTAGATTTTAATTCCTGTGTCTAAATTTTGATATGAAATTTCTGGGTCATATGATAATTTATTTTGGAGAATTTTTTGTTTAGTTTTCTGAGAAACTATCAAGATTGTCACCATAAGCTATGACATTTTCTTCAGGTGATATATGAGCACATTTGAAATCCTTATTATTATTATTTTTTTACCATTCTCAGGTGTGAAGCACTGTGATTTCACGGTTAACAATAAACTTTAAAAATTCCTTATTAGGTGAATTAATCATTGTGCTGCTATCACAATGATTTACTCCACAAATGAAGATAACTATGATATCACTATGCAATATAAACTTCAAGGTAGAGTGTCACATATGCAATCTTTCTCTGACAGTCATCATTACTCATCATCTAAGAATACTTCATTATGGTTTGATTTGAGTTACTCCAATGACTAAAAATCCCAAATACTATTTCATGGGCTTCATGCAGAGTCATGTATTTTCTGTAAAGAAATGGTTGCAGAATATTTTACCTACTTTTAAAACTGAGTTGTTTTTATTTGTTGTTGAGTCAGAGAAGTTATTTATTTATTGTGGATAACATTCGTCTTATCACATAAATGATATATAAACATTTCTCTGATTTTTACATTGTCTTTTCCCAATGGATTTGATGAACAAAATTGTAGCTTGTTCTTTCTATCATATCTAAGAACCTACTCTCCTACTAAAGAATTTGAGGTATTTCTAGTATTCTTTATGTTTTGAAATTATACCATGTGGCTATTAATTTTGTGTAAATGTTTGCATATACTCTCTTTTTATGGGGGGGGTCTGGTCGTGGGGCCTGAACTCTGAGCCTGGGCACTGTCCCTCAGCTCTTCAGCTCAAGGCTAGCGCTCTACCACTTGAGCCACAGCGCCACTTCCGGCTTTTTTCTTTTTGCTTATGTGGTGC